GCTAAGACCTCTCCGCATAATGGGCCTTTCGCTTGCTCCAGCTGCGAACCGAACTGTCCGACAGCTGACGAGGGGGAAGCGACAATTCTTTCACGACAGCTTGCTCACTCTCTGACTCTTCCTCAGTCCAGCAGAGAGATTTTTTTTTTGTTGAGTCGCAAGCGCGCGGCCTCCAAGAGGTCAGCTCAGACTCGCGGACGGCTCGAGCGGGCGCGCTGGCCGTCCAAGATGGTTTACAAAAGTAACTCTTTTCACCACCAAGATATCCTTTGCATGACAGCTCGCTCCGCTCGTTGGAACGCCAATTTGAAGGTGACGACAGCTTTACGCTTGAACACCTTTCTGACTGCGTTGAGTCCATTCAGCGCCACAAGTACGACTTGGTCTCCTAGGTCGGGATTCATACAGGTAGCTTGCGCCAGAGCCAAAAGGTTTGACCGCTCGAAAGGCGCTGTCCTTCTCAATCATCACTCGAGCGTGCTTTGACTACGTACTACAGTAGCACGCCACGGAAGAGGCGGACGCGATGTTAGGTGGTCAGCATCTATACTGCCCGACCAGCGTGCATCACGCTGCCCCTCGTATCTCAACGAACGCACTCAAGATTGTTGATGTGTTGCCACTGCGATTTGACTGCTTCCGCCTTGGCGTCGCATCGATTGGCTCCCGTTCAAAAGATGATATCAGCGATGGCGTTACTCGTGCCGAGCTGGTGAGGCACATTCACTCAGATGCCCAAAGGCCCGCTACTGTCCATGCTCAACATGCTCGTGTTACTGCTTCTTGGGACGGTATCCTTGGGACGGTATCCTTGGTCACCGAATCTCAGTGACCCGGCGAGCTTCGATGCGGAAGTCGGGCCCCAAGTACGAAAGGAGATTGCCGGACTCCAGTGCGACGGAAAGCATCCATCAACAACATAACACCAGTGTCCGACTTGAAATATATTGATGCACAGTCGGCACCACTGAAGCTGATAATCCCATCTCAATTTGTCGCTCAGGCACCACTCGACCCGACAGACACGATGCAAAGCCTCGAGCTCCGGCGGTCAGAGAGAGGATACAGCATTACAGCATCCAATACCTATGCATTCCAATTGCAGCGACATGTCGCTCGTGCCTGCCTTATTCTACTTGTCCCCAAATTTGGAGCTTCCAGAGATGCCTGATTGCACATTTGCTCTAGTCTCATTGGCCATGGGGTGGGCATGAGGAGCATGGGCAGGCAAGTCGATATCGTGAGAGTGTACCGGAATTTGAACCTCATCGCCGCCTCTGCCAGCAGTGTTGAGCTCCGGGTCGTTGGCTTCGGGGTTGGGCATCGTATGCTCGTGACCCTTGGCGTCGGCTTTGGTGTTGGCGAGACTGAATTCGCTCGGAAGGGTTTTGCCTAGCTCAGCTGCTGTTGTCTCCTGCTCGGGTCTTCTGGACGCTGCAGCGCCAACCCCTCGGCCAGCTTGGGACTGCGGTCGATGCAGCGACAAAGAATCATTAGCGCGATCCCCCAAGAACCCGCTGAACTCAGATCGTGGACTCACCGGGTTGTCAGAGCGGGTGCCTTCGGACCCTCCGCCCGCGGTCCCAAGACCGCTAACCTTCTCGCCTGAACAAAGGTCGTCGGCAATGTTCAAATACATCAGCGCATCCTCTATGCGTTTCACTATCGCAGCGTAAGTCTGAACTCACCTTGTGCTAATGAAGACATGGTTGGAACTGATGATAGCTTGGTTGCGACGTCGAGTTGAGTGGCTTTGAGGGTATGTGGTGATGATCAAAGAGTGAAGGCTGTCCGACTCTTGCGCCTATCAGAAGATGTTTTGAGCCTTCTTCCAGTTGTGTCTGGCGAGCCCTGCAGATGCCGGGCTTTGCCCAAGTCATCTCTGCCAGGTGCGAGGGGCGATCTCACGCGAGGAGGTCTTCTGACATCAACTGACTTCCATGCTGCCATGACAAGCCCAGCGATCTCGCTGGTACGGCGCCGTCCAAGTCAAGCGCAATTACGAGTGCAAGGACGCGACAGCGATTGCTCAGCCGAAACGCCTTACTGATCGAGAATGTGAGAGACGAGATCGTCATCAGGGTCCACATCTCCACAAGTGGGGGGTGACTTATGCGCGCTTAGTTGATTTTGACGTTTGGATGTGGGTGGGAGGTCGATCGCTCACTGCACGCGTCAATCGTGGGCGGCGCGTCTCATGACTTTATCATCCGGTGCGGCAGGGCATAGCCAAGAGCCGCCAGCATCCACGCTCTGATCGAAGACATTTGTGATTCGGTGCCGCGATCAGAAGCTTCCTTGGCGAGAAGCCGACTTGCGTTGAGAGAGCAATGATCGGTCGAAGCCCTCTTGTCTTGCAACAGCGAGCTGGTGCAGCAGGTCACATAGAAACTCATGACTGCCATGCATGCGCCTCTTCTCTCGTGACACCCGCTCATAACTCTTGCATGGGCGGGGAGTGAGACCTTGAGTCGAGCAGGACCGCATGCTTTACAGCAAGGTGCTCATACGATCTCTTTCCAAAACTCCCTAACGTGATTGTCGGAGATCGTGTGACGCTAGGCGTAGAGATGCGAGCGCGGCTCAGAAACTCGTTCCGCATCTCCTATCATTAGCGGATATCAACGTCGACGTGCTCTCTACACAGGACTCCCAAATCACTTTTTGGCTCCCATCCGGAAGGCCTATGCATTTGTATGGCACCGTTACCCACGCTTCAAGCCTCCGCACTCAAGAACTGAGACAGCTTCAAGCAATCGCAGATAGTGAAGCTATCCGGCGTGGCTGACTGTCAGGGTTCCCATCGCCAACGACCCGTCAGCTGTTTGCTCAGCCAGGGAGCGAGACTAGTAGCAAATCATGCTTGGCCCGACGCCCTATCTGAGCGTCGATTCGTCTCGCATAGCGAGCTCGTTCAAATCTTTTCTTTCGATGTTTAGCTGCTTGCGTGATCGTGAAGAGAGCGATGTGGTCTTGCAGGCCTAGTGAGTGAACAACGTGTGCGGAATGGAGCGGCGGTCAGAATGGATGGATGGATGCACCACCGTTGCATGCTGAGCCAGCTAGCCAGCTGCAGGGCCACATGCATAGATTTCAATGATCCTCATGCAGGGACATGTGCAGAGTGCAGCAGCAGCAGGGTGATTGCGCTTTCAGTCACATCAGCTGAAGAGAAAG